GAGGTTCAGCCTCTTGGGAATCTAGAAGTTTTACCGAACTTGCATACGGCCTCATTTTTTAAACCCATGGCAGCCCACATAGAATGCAGGACGCAGCATGTAATTACTTTAAAATACCCTCTCATCTCTGCGGCCCGTACCTTGGGATTCATGATGAAGGTAGCTTGAAGTGGCCCTGTACACTTTGGGGGAAGGTTTGCTGTACCCACTGCGCTCTGGCCACCCTTGTTACAAGTCCGTCACACAACTTGTTTAACATGTTTACTTTTTAAACACTTGGAGAACTAACAGCAGGTGGTTGCATGACTGAGATGTTTGTTTTAACAAGCTAAAAACTGGGAGGTAATTTAGACACACACTGTGATGCAATAGGAAAATACCTAATTATTCCATTTTTGGCTCAGCTTTTCGTTTCAGTTAAAACTGCTGATAGCAAGGCTCGACTGGATTTGTAGAGGAGTTCTCTTAGCATTGCCTGCATAGGAGAAACTGGCTCACTAGCAACAATGGCCGTGTTTTAGTTACTCATGTATGAAACCTACTTGGCTCTAGTGCTAGAACTTAGTAAAGATTTTCTTCTGTCATCAGCAGTTACAGTGTGAATACAGACGGCTCTGAAAGCGCCATATCTATTTCAGCATGCTCTAGAAAGCCGCTCGGAATATTTTTTTTGCCTGTACCTAGAAGCAGCAAGTAAATGTCCTGAAAACAAGAGAGCTACTTGTTATTAATCCTTGATACGTTCAGTATGTAGGTTATGGCTGGCTCTTGGAACGGTCCATTGAGCAAATAGGAGGAGCCAGGAATCTTGCAGGACTACTGCCAGAAGCACACATGGTCAGGGATAGAGTCTAGATCAGGGGTGGTTATCTTTGTCTATAAAGGGCCAGAGAATAACTACTTTAGGATTTGTGGGCCATTTGGCCTCTGTTGTAACTATTCAGCTCTGCTGTTGTAGCGTGAAAGCAATCATAAAGAATAACATAAGCAAATGGATATGGCTATATTTCTATGAAACTTTATAAACACAAGCTGCTGGGCACGGTGGCTCACACCTGTAATCCTAGCACTTTGGGAGGCTGAGGCGAGTGGATCACAAGATCAGGAGTTCGAGACCAGCCTGGCCAACGTGGTGAAACCATGTCTCTACTAAAAATACAAAAATTAGCCAGGAATGGTGGTACACACCTGCAATCCCAGCTACTGAGGAGACTGAGGCAGGAGAATCACTTGAACCCAGGAGGCAGAGGTGGCAGTGAGCTGAGATCTTGCCACAGTACTCCAGCCTGGGCGACAGAGCGAGACTCCATCTCCAAAAAAAAAATCAGGCAGTGGGTTGGATTGGCTATGAGGCCACAGTTTGCCATCCCCTGTTCTGGTTTCCAGAAGATACTCCACTGGGTTGTATGAATGACCTCAGAGGCAGAATAGCAGTGGTTTTCACTTAACTGGGTGGATACCTATAACCTTCAATATGCATAGCCAAGACTTCACTGTATTTGTATATAATAAATTTGTTTTCAGAAAAGTCTTTCTTTACCAGTCCTTTGGGGGCTAATATGAATAGTGTTATTTAGTTATACTTCATTTGTTTCCTAGAATTGAGGTACTTATGATAAAAAGCCATCAAAGTAAAATCAAAACTACATTAAGTCACAGAAAACAATTTCTGAATATTCCTTACCCACCTGCCAATGCAAGCCGGTAGCTCAGCCCCTTCTGATATGCCTCAGTTCTTGAGGCACCTCCTAAGTTTCATACTGATATGCTACCTATGTTATTTTATCTAGAATTATTTCCTTCCTTCCTTTTTTTTTTTTCCATTCTGAAAATACTTTCCCCAGTGTTTTATGTCAAGTCTCCTAACAAAGGAAGTTTTGGTATCCATCATTTTTCTTCTGATTGAAGTATAAGGCAAGAACTCTTTTGCCAATAAGTGGGTGTATGGGAAGAAAAGAAAAATTATAAGCTAATGAAATTTTGATGGGCAAATGATCTGTTCAAAGCTGATTCCAAGGCTCACAGAGCTCACATTTCATTAACACAGGAAGTGTTTTCAGTCATCTTACTGATATATCTTTGCTGTCCAGGGGAAGGGAGTGTTAAATTACTTTAGAGTTTGGTGGTCAGAAGCACTGCTCAGAGGTGGAGAGAGGAGGCTGGAATTTCCGCTGAGCTGTAGGCGAGATGACTTTTCAGTGGGTGTCAGAAGATAGCAACAAGGCCAAATGATTTGAAGGACTGCCACTGGAAATGTGACTTCAGAGACAGCTCTGAAATAGGGAAACTGATCTACAGGAAAACTATGAGTATGTACAAATGATTCTGTTTAAAAGGTCCTAGTGATTATCAGGCCCAACTGCTTAACTAAGGAGATGCAGAAGATTCTGTGGAGCTAGGCAGGGGTCTGCGTCATTGGGGAGGTGTGATAGCTGTGTCCCTGAGGACACTGAAGGAAGTAAAGAACTTCCCTAGAACAGGGTACCAGTCAAGGATTCATTCACAAGTAAAGACAGAAGCACAGTCTCCTAGCAGTTGGAATAACATCAGAGTAGAAACAGAAGCAAGACGGGTGGTATTGAGGACAGGCAGACCACCCGCATGACAGAATTTCAAGATGTGGTCTTGGGCTAACCTGTGATGGACAAGAAATTAATTCTCTAATCGCCAGCTGGGAAAATGTTCAGTATCTGTTCTAAAAACATTGATTACCTCTGTAAATTTAGAAATGTTGTAACCTTTAGATGGAAGAGAGAAATTCTTAAGAATTACCAACTTAGGCTGAGACCCCTCTTGTTCACTCTTGCTGAGGGGCAAATTGGTGCAGTATTTGTGGGGAGGAGGCAGTTTGACGTGATCTGTCAGAGTAATAAATGCGTGTACTCTCTGATCCTGTAACCGGACTTCCGTAATTTATTATTTTTAAATACACTCAGGCTGGCAGAGATGTTCGTACAAAGATTATGAGTATATTTTTAAAGATTGAAGTGAATTACGGAAAACTTGGCATTTGCAAAGTTTTTGGATCTCAAAAACTTTGAAAAACTCCCTCTAGGGAATCGCTGATCTGTATGTACAACCAAGGAGGTTTGACCAGGACAAATTGTGTAGTGGAAAAAGGAAATTTCAGAAAATGGATAGTCCCATAACTATAGATTTCACATCTGCGGATTCAACAAACGGGGCATCAAAAATATTCAGAAAAATAAAAATTAACAGCCAGGCATAGTGTCTTGCACCCATAATCCCAGCTGGAAATCTGAGGCAAAAGGATCCCTTGAGCCCAGGAGCTCAAGGCTGCAGTGAGCGATGATTGTGCCACTGTACTGCAGCCTGGGCGACAGGGTAAGATCCTGCCTATAAATAATAACAATAATACAATAACTTAAAATAATATACATAAAAATACAGTGTAACAGCTATTTACATTTCATTGGCAATCTAGAGATGACTTAAAGCCTATGGGAGGATGTGTGTAGGTTATATGCAAATTCTGCACTATTTGACGTAAGAGACTTGCGTATCAGTGTATTTTGGTGTCTGGGGGGAGTGCTGAGGGACAACTGTATATAGAATGACCTCTTCTCTTTGAAAGTAGTGGTACTCAATTGTGTGTGTGTGTGCATGTGTGTGCATAAACGATTTGGAACCATACACAAATTGCTAGCGGTGGTTATGGGGCAGGGATCACAGTGGATGAGGAAGAAAGCCACTTATATATTAACTAGTTGGCTGTAATGAAAGAACCTGACAATTCTTGCTTGTCACAGACACACTAAGGAGCAGGGATGGAGAGGGACTCATGTAATGCCTGGATTCAGCTCAAGAAGAACACATCATTAGAAGTGAAAGATCTCTCTCTCTCTCTCTCTGTCTCTCTCTCTCCTTTTTTTCTTTCCTTCCTTCCTTCATTCCTTCCTTTTCTTTCTATTTTCTCTCTCTATCTTCTTCCTTTCTTTCCTTTCTCTCTCTTTCTCGCTTTCTTTCTCTCTCTCTTTCTCTCTCTCTCTCTCTCTCTCTCTCTCTCTCTCTTTCTCTCTCTCTCTCTCTCTCCCTCCCTCCCTCCCTCCCTGTCTCCCTCCTACCGTCAGTCACCTGGGCTGGAGTGCAGTGATCTTGGCTCACTGTAACCTCTCTCTCCCAGGTTCAAGTGATTCTCCTGCCTCAGCCTCCTGAGTAGCTGGGATTACAGGCATCCACCACCACACCCAGCTAATTTTTGTGTGTGTTTGTAGTAGAGACAAGGTTTCTCCATGTTGGCCAGGCTGGTCTTGAACTCCTGGCCTCAAGTGATCCACCAACCTCAGCCTCCCAAAGTGCTGAGATTACAAGCATGAGCCACCGCACCCACCCAAAAGAGCCTTCTCTTTCATAAGTAACCTGTGAGGCATATGTGTCATCATTACAGATATGAACCGTTATATGCCTGTCTAACTCATACACTTATTTATTCATTAACTTAGCTGCTATTTATTGAGTGCCTACTGTGTGTAAAACACCATGCAAGGTACCTAGGCTGGATAGCAGTGACAGAATAAAGGTATCCTCACAGCTGCAGGCTCAAGCAGAGAGACCCAAGCTGTGACCTGGAAGCTTGAAGGAGGTGTATCGTTTAAAGGAACGCATGTCTGTGCCCAGTTCTGAGTAACGGCAGTTGGTATTACATTGTAATTGGAAGTGCCCTTTGTATTAGATTTTTTTTCTTTTTTAGTTTTGTCTTCATTTTAGTCTTGTGTATTTTCGAGTAGAGTTTTTGATGATGATTAGCGTTTTAGGTATGAGATCTTCTAGGATACAGTCACCTGGCTGCTCTGTGACAATGACCCACATAACCGTAAGTGACTTTGGTTTCTAATTGCATCACTGTGTCCCCTCAGTCTCCACAAAGGAAGAACCTCTAAAAACAACTTTATATATGGAGATAGAGATATATACACACATGTATATTTTTTGTCTGCTGTCAACTCAATTGTTTGTGTGTTTTTTGTTTTTTTTCACAGAAAAAGCAAAGGACAAAAGATCTTTCTCGGGTGTTTCATTCTTACAGTCCGTATCATCACAAGGTAAGAGAAGAATATTAATAGCATATCAGGTATTAAAGTCTTTGCAAATGTGTAGTACAATTTTCACCAACATATGGTGATTCTAAAATACACTCACCAGTTACATTTATATTTCAGTTTTAGTTTTTTAGCCCTTTATCCCTTTTAAAGAAAACAAACATATTATATTTCTGAACTAAAATAATTATGTTTTATTCACATGGAAATCTAGTTACATATTGGCGCTGAAATCTCAAAGTCAGTGAAAAGACGCATTTTGGGGTGTATTTTGTTTGGTTGGTCTTTGTGTTTTCTTTCCTGACACTGTACTGGAGGAGCTTCACTTTCGGATTGGTAAAGATAATTGAACTGCTGACTGCGAAACTCGATTCTTCATTGCTCCTGATAGGAAGTTATCTTTCTAAATAAAAGTCCTGACAAAAATTAGTACATAGCATTAGATCGTCTACTGCCTGGAGCTTTGCTACGCAGAAAATTACCAAATAACGTAATGACCCCCGTGTGCCCATCCCACAGTTTCATAGACTCATCGTCAGTCTTGTTTCATTTACACCCTATGTTCTCCATCCCTCATAGCTGAAAAATTCCTAGACCTCTTTTCACTTGTAAGTATTTTGCAATATATTTGTAAAAGATAAGGACTCTTTTAAAAAGAAAAAAATATAGTCATTTTTAAGAAAATGCTTAGCACCACATCTTCATGGGGAAATAGATTACAAGGTTTCTGAGACTTGGGCAAAACTTCTAAACCATGTAAGATTCCAATAAATCTGTTCATTCGAGGTGATTTCAGAAGCAAACAAAAAATTTGCACAGTCGAAATGCTAATATAAACTTAAATCTTTATCTATGAATTTACAGGGAGACATGTGGTGGGGATTTTTTAACTAGCCAAAATAAGTAGTGTGAAAACTACTTTCCTCAGTTGCAAATACAGAGATATCTGGATTCGGGAGGGAAAAATTGTGCCAATTCATAGAAGTTGAAAGAATCTGAAACACGAGTTTCTAGTGTTTCTATAGTGACCGATTGACTTAAGCACCAAAAACTTGTAAAAGAGATGTTTATGCTTCATGTGACCATGGTGATATGTAATACTAAAAATTATATCATTCCAACATAAATTTTTCAAGCTAAATCAATCACATTGCAGAATGCTGCAATGTTGAAAGAGATTGAGAGAGCCAATAGTATCCGACAGTGCAGACAGAAGGAAGGAGCAGGCTGATCAGTAATACAACAGCAAAAGGAATGAGATCGGCCACATTTCTGAAGGTAACGTTGCATTTTTTTAGACGAAGCCATTTAATGAACCTAAGTGCGGCAGTGGCCGAGTTAATGATTAACAGCAACAACTTTTTTAAAAAGGCGATGGCAAATCAGAGGTTTTCCCTGGCTTGTCTAAGTTTTGCCCACTTCTAACATTTTTTAATTCACAGTTAAGGGAAATTCCATTCTTCTTTTATTAGAACTCTTAATGGAACCTGGCCATTTGCAGCTTCTGCTGGCTTCCTCTTCATATCCTTTGTGGCATACTATCAAAGTCACCTCAGATTATTCTGGCTCCCCTTCATTCCTCTACAAATTAGTCATCAGGCAGTGAGGGATTGACTCTAAATGCTAGATGGAGTTCCTTTTGATCTTTGCTTTAAGAGTGGTAATAAATTATTGTAAATAGCTAGACTGCTTGATGAGTACCTTTTGAAGCTCCTAAGTTTTGGCCTGTTGGCGTTCTGTTTTATTCTAGATGTACAGTAGTAAAGGAAAATGGAAACGTTTTATTCCAAGCAGCTCCCAGCCCCCTTAGTAGCCTCTACCTACTTTACTTTTCTAAGTTCCATCCAGGCAAATCTGACCATGTTACTTTTAACCTTGTCTCTGGTTGATTGGACTATCCACAAAGACTAGAACCATATGGATAAAGGAACATACACCATTTTCTCAATCTGAGAATGTCGCTGTTTTTCCCCCCATAAGTGAATAGAGGGCTGCGATGAAAGTTATTTTGTCATTTTAATTACCCACTTATATTCAAACAAATCGGTATCCTAGACAGATAGATTTTAGTGTAAAATATTTTACAAGACGTGGTTAAAGTTGATTTAGACATCTCATGCTCAGTGAGATTTCTGGAGTGATCTTTATGAAAATGTATACATAGATTGTCAGTGAAAGCGTTTATGAAATACATCAGTTGTCTCGGATTTGCTTTAATGCAGGCTGATGCATTGGCTTATGACAGTAATCCCAGCACTCTGGGAGTCTGAAGCAGGAGGATAGCTTGAGACTAGAGGTTTGAGACCAGCTTGAGCAACATTGTGAAACTCTGTGTCTATTTAAAAAAATTAAAAACTAGCCAGGCATGGTGTTGCGCACCTGTAGTCCTAGCTACGGGACGCAGGTTTAGGCAGGAGGATCACTTGAGCCTGGGATTTCGAGTTACAGTGAGCTTTACTCCAGCCTGGGCAACAGAGCAAGACTCCATCTCTAAAAGAACAATTTTTTAAAAAATAATTTCAAAGAGGAGAGTGGAAAGGGTACAATAAAATAAGATTGGCCATGTGTTGGTGATTATCAAAACCAAATGATATTTGGAGGGGTCATTATTTTATTCTTCATTTTTCTATATGATTGAAATTTTCTATAATAAAAAGATGCAAAAAGTAAAATAAACTATGGTCTGCTCTTGGGAGTGAATGCTGTGATGATTTGCCTCTCCAGCTATATTCATTTTAATGTTCATTTTCCCCTTGACGCAAGTTTATGCCAAAAAGAAGTAGTCAGCATTTTAGTGGGTTCATCATGCTGAGTAAACTCAGAAATGCAACTCCTGTTCTAAAGTTGGCATAATTTCCTGGGGTTTCATCCCAAATTATAGTGGGTCACTGAAATGATAGCCTTGACTACCAGAAACTGGTAAAACAGTTGTAGTTACAAAGGTGGTGACCGCGTGCGTTTTGTTATCAGTGAGTCCGTTGTATCTGCTGTTCTTTCCTGCCCCCAACCAAGATTGCTCCTGCCTGACCCCAGACGCAGGAAAGCCACCAGGTTAAACAAACGTGTTGTTTGAGTGAGCCCAGGTGCACTTCTTAGTCATACCCCAAAGCCATTGTTTAGGTTGGTCAGTTGGTTTTCTCTTAAATGCTGTTGCAAAAAGCAAATAAAGCTCAGAGCAAAATATGTACCCAGAATAAGGCTTAAAAATACTTTATTTCCTGCACTAAGAAAGGCTGCTTGAGACTGGACGAATTTCTTACTTGATAACTGTCTCTGGTTCCGTGTCCATTTCTTAAATTGTTTTCAGGAATTCTTATAACAAATGAAGACTCATACAAAAGGGCTTGACAAAAGTTAATTCCCATTTATCTGTCCTTCTAAAAGAGAACATTAGTAAAGGTAATCCAGAGTAGCAGATAATCTGGTTTTACTTTATACATTATATTATTTCCTTTGTCATTTTAATAAACGGGTAATAAACATAACTTATATTCTAGTTTCTGAAAACACACCACATACTACGTACTAAGGAAGGTTAGAAGCCCAGAGAGCTTTCGGGTCACAAAAAGTCAACCTGGAGTTGATTTTTTTTCTTTTGATAAATCACAGGTAAGTTAGAGTAGGCTAGAATTCGAACACTTTTATTAAAACCATGCAAATTAGCATGTGCTGTGTGTTTTTAGCCGGAAGAAGACATTTCTCTGCACATAAAAAATGTCTCTTTCTCTCTTTTTTGTTAGATTTGATTAGAATTATGTGTGGGGGGGAAATCTAAGTTTATTAGCTAAACACACATGTTTATAATCTGCTAATATGAAAGTTATTCTAAAAAATTGAAATGCTTGGAAGGAAAAAGTTCTGTTTACTTCTACAGTGGCTTTTTTTAACATCTGCAAAGTTAGGTTTCTAAACACAGTTAATCTGCATGAATTAATGTGCGCTCCACCAAAAAAGTGAGTCTTTAACACGTAGTCACTATTATTCTGTATTTCGTGAAGTGAGCTCTTTGTTCTCTTCTAGTGACTTGTTATAGTAATAATTTTTCTACATATGTAGACATGTTAGTGGACACACTCGAGAAGAAGCATGGTGAGATATCTAGCTGCTGTGTTGGTGATGTGGGCTTTTCTTGCTATAACTGCTGTTATTAATTACTTTTCTACATGTGTATGCATGCATCAGCTGAACTAGAAGCAAATTCATATATGTCCTTGAACACCTACGTATTTATGCACTTGGTAAGTTAGGCTGTGAGTAGAAGGAAAACTAACATTCGTGCTTTACTCAATCAGAGCATTTTGTGCGGCAATCTCAGCTTTTTAAAACAGCTCAGAGCCTCTAAAAAAGCCTATGTAGGCCCAGATTGTTTAAATTATTAATTCTCTTCACCCACCTCATTACTTCTTCAGTCCCTCATCCACAAACAGTTCAATCTCTTTTTAAAAACAAATCAGTTTAAACTGATGCCTGGTTTCCCAAAACACGGTCAACACTAATAGAAGGTAATAAGTAGGTAGTTATTGCTGAAAGCAGTCAGAGCTCTAGTGAGAAGCGACAGTGTCCTAAATGAGAGCAAGGACAGGCCACTAAAACTCTTCAGTCATTAGCAGAGGAGCTCCAAAAGTGCAGCTGCCCAAGACCACTTAATTCAGACCCAAATACCCGGCTATCCCTATACATTTCAGTACGCCTGGGGTAAAATAACAGATCAACTTACATTCAGAAACAGATGTTTTGTTAAAAAACAGAATTTTTAGAAACATTGGTATTTTAGGAATAACTTCATATCTTGAAAAGTCTCTTAGGAACAGCTGCTTCTTAATAAGGCAGGATAAATGAAGTATTACTACAGACAGTGACTGAATTAAAGAAGTAATAGGCCAAACATGGTGGCTCAGCCTATAATCTCAGCACTTTGGGAGGCCGAGGCGGTAGGATCACTTGAGGCCAGGAGTTTGAGACCAGCCTGAACACATAGCAAGACTCCATCTCCACAAAAAATG